AGTTCTCTAAAAAAAGAAAGATTTGCTGGAGAGCACTTAAATTTTGGAGGCCTAATTATTCTACCTATTTCTCAATTCATCCAGCCAGAGAACAGAAATGTATCAGCTCAGCAGTACTTTCAATCAACCCTATCCCATTTTAATATCCACTGTACCACCACCAATATTCTTACCAAAAAGCTCTGGGCTAGATGAAATTTAACAGGAATCAGTCAATTGACTAGAATACACGTGGGAAACTCACAACCTCTTTAGTCCAAGTGTTTCCAAGCTTTTGGGAACTAGAATAACTTTCAATTAAATTCACTAAAATAAGGCAACTAGAGCTGGTTGCTCAGGGCTGTGTCCAGTCAGGTTTTGAATATCTCCAAGGATGGAGGCTCCCCACCCTCTCTGGGCAGCCCATTCCAGTGTTCAACCACCCCTACACTAAGAAAGGTTTTTCTTATGTTCAAATGGAATTTCCTGAATTTCAATTTGTAGCCATTGCCTCTTGTCTTGCCTCTGGAGGTCACTGAGAAGAGTCTGGCTTCAGCTTCTTTATCAACCCAGCAATTAGGTACATACTGATGAGATCCCCCTTGAGCCTTGTCTCCTTCAGGCCGAGCAGTCCCAGCTCTCTCAGCCTCTCAATCATCTTTGTGGCCCTTCACTGGACTCTCTCCAGTATGCCCATGCCTCTCTTGTACTGGGGAGCCCAGCACTGGACCTGGCACTCCAGGTGTGTCCACCCAGGGCTGGGCAGAGGGGAAGGGTCACCTCCTTCAACCTGCTGGAGATGCTCTGCCCAGCACAGCCCGGGGCACCCGTCAGCCTTCGCTGCCCCAAGGGCTCATCGCTGGCTCATGGTCAACCTGGTGTCCACCAGGACACCAGGGCCTTTCTAGCTGGTGACCCCCAAGCCTGTCCTGATGCTCGGGCTTATTCTTCCCCAAGGGCAGGACTTGGCATTTCCGTTTGCTGAACTTCATGAGGTTCCTCTCAGCCCATGTCTCCAGCCTGTAGAGGTCCCTCTGGATGGCAGCACGACCCTTCGACATGCCAGGCACTCCTCCCAGCTTTGTGTCATCTGCAAACTTGCTGAGCACGTGCTCTGTTCCAGCATCCAGGTCGTTAATGAAGGTGCTGGACAGTATCAGACCCTGGGGGTAGCATCTCCTCTCATTGCTATGGAGGTGATGGAAAACAACAGACTTAGCTCCCCCCAGCTGATTTCTGAAAAAAAAAAAACTGTCACAGACATTGCCAGTATATATGTGACAATAAACATAAACCCACATTTCTTTTGTTGTTTAATTTTCTTAATGGGTAGTTTTATGCAGATAGGCGGGATGATGCTGCCAGCCTGCAGGTCCCTGTTTCCCAGCAAAATTCTTGCTTCAGTAACCCTCAGCAGCCAGCATGGCAACGAGACTCTTCTTATGCAAATAGATTCAGTAGCATTTCTACCAGTCCCAGCACGACTCATGATTTGCCTTTTGAATTTTGGTAAATCCATCAACAGCAAACATGGGAGCAGGAAAAGACCACCTCCCTTTCCTCCTCCTGTTGGCAGTGGGGAGCGGGGGGGGGGCAGTGTGCTACAGCTTGCTCGCCAGCGTGGCGGAAGGGAAATGAAATGCAAACAAAATGCGGGCGGAAAACATTTTGTCGCTGATTAAAGAAGAGGATGGTCCCTACACAAGTGGATTGCTGCCACCAACAGCATTTGCTTCGATCTCTCTAAGCTTGGAATTAATTAGGTAAAACCCCTAGCATTTACCTTGGGCTGTGGTATCACCTGGAGGACACTTGGCATGAATTAGTGCTTGATTATCATAGGAGCTTTAGCTGCAAAATGATCTGTCTAGTGAGAGTCTGCCAAGTAATTCACAGGAGGTGGCAAACAAAGTGGCATTTTCACAATTTTAATTAGGTTTGGGGGGAAAAGAGGTTAGCTTGAATAGAGCGAGAGGCAGGGTGATGACCTTACTGAACATCTCATGGACTTCCTTTTACACAGCTGGGATATGGGGACACACTCTGCAAATTTGCTCAGATGTTTCCTCGGTACTTAGGGAATTTAAAAAGGGAGGGGTTGATTTTTTTTTTTTTTTTTTTTTGATAAGGTAATAGGAGATAAGATTGCAGTGGAAAAAGGCTTAGTTCAGGCATCAGAGAAAAGGTTGCTGTGACCTCTGAGTAGGGATGGATGTGCTGTGTGCGGAGGCTGGAAAAATGCCACCAGATGTCTCTGTAGCCTAAAAAATGTAGGGAGGCTGCTGGGCACCCCAGCACCACCCCGGGCTGCCTCGCCTGCCTCTGCTGTTCAGTGAAGGGCACATTTAATGGAGAAAGAGACGCATGCAACCCCAAATTAAATCCACACATACGAACCGTTGTTCCTCCTCCTCCTCCCCAGATGCAAAGGTTCGCACCCCCCATTCAAATCATGGCTGCTTTCTCCATAAGTGAGGGAGCCAGATAAAGCCACAGGGTAACTTTTTCTTCTATTTTGGGGAAAGGCATGTTGCTAGTGCAGCTTCATGGATGCCGCTTTGCCTTACACAGAGCAGATCTGCATCAGGCAAAGTGACTTGCTTGCTTTCGGGGTCACCATCACTGTACCTGTGACAGCAACCGAGCACCAGCTTTGGAGGCAAAAAGCAATCCTATTCCCCAGTGTCCCCATAAAATAGGGAAGTTGAATCATTTATGAGAAATATCACTGGGAATAAGCGCATGGTCAGCCATAGGATGCATGGACTTAATTGACTTCTACCTTCTAGTAGCAGTGGTGATTACAATTGCATACAGAAAGATCAAAGTGTTTCCTGATTCCCAGGTCTCAGCCAGAAGAATCACAGCACCATTTACTACCCAAGACAGCAATTATTTATGCTATTTATGCTACCAGTGAATTAAAAGAAAAAAAAACAAAAAACAAAAAACAAAACAACCAAAACTAATTTTCTGTATGTAGATCAGACCTCCTGTTTGCATTTTAGGGCAATGCAGAGGGAAGCTAGACTGGTTTTCTTCGTTGCCTTGTGGGCAATTTTAAATTTCTCTGAGGAAAGGGGTGGTAAAGGGAGGGAGAGTGGCAAAAATTAGATCTGAGGGAGGTCAACTCTATCCACTTAACTGCTATTGACCCACTTGTAACCAGAGCTGAGCCCAGCCTGGGTATCGGAATTTCTCTGGCCACGTCTCTGACAATGTGCAGGGCCCGAAAGTATCTAAATCCCTTTAGCACAGTGAAGTCCCTACAGCCTGAAAACCATCATAGATACTGCTTGCCTCATAGCTGCATGAGGCTGAGCGTAATAAGAAAGAGAAGCTGGGGTAAATTCACCGATGGATTAAGAGGAAGAAGGTACTTTCTTCCCTCTTGCTGAGTGAAGTGTGGAAACCCCCAGGGAATTACTGCTCTGTTTCAGTTGATGCGCTAAAAAAGACTCAAACCTTTCTGAGAAAGGATCTTTACAATTATGAAAATCTTGTGCTTTAGTCTGATTCCCCAGTTCCTGAAAAGTTCTCCAACCTGCAGCTTGTTTTACACCATTTTAGGGTTGTAAAAGTAGCAAAGTATAATGGAGCATCAGGCCCATATTTCTCTCCAGACTTCTGAGTACTCATTTCTTGTGCAAATACATGAAAGGGAAACCAGATACTCCTAGCCTCAGTATGAGAAAATTGTGTTAATTTTAATAACTTACAGTGTAACTGTTACACCCTGATGCAGTAGCTATACTGTCAGAAAGCAAGCACCAATATGCAACCCAAAAATGTGTCTATTAAAATAAAATAATATTAATAAAAAAGCCTTGGCTTACATTAGTTATAGGTTTGGCTGAAAAGCTGAGCCTTGGACTGTATGATCTGGCTCTGGCTCTGCTGGGCCACAGAAAGACTGAATTCATTACTCGGGAAACCTTCGTGGAGGGCACGCTGCCTCGAATCCCAGGGAGCAATGTCGATGAATAAGAATGGACATGGGCTAATTCAAACCCTTCTCCCATCCTTCAAATCAAGTTAGTGATTCCTCTCTTCTTTGTGGTTCCCAGCCTATTGTCATTTTCAGTGCATCCTATCACCCCGCAGTACAAACTGTTCTGGGAATACACTTCATTCCTCCAGCAGCCTCTCAGCAATGCCAAGGAATGTAGCTCTTCTGGTTACAATTAAGAAATTCAACATACAAATGCTCCCCAAGTGCACCAGAACCTGCTTGTGACCTTCACGCAACCGAATCTGAAGGAGTCGAAGCAATTTTTTGTTCTTTGGTTCCAATAAAGAGGGGAGGGGAAAGGAGGGGGCGGGGGGGGGGAAAACCCCATTCCTCCCGAGGGGCACCATGGTTTCAGGGGTCAGCTGCACGGAACCTGGCGCGGGGGAGCGCGGTTTCCAGGGCTGCGTTCCCACACGGAGCTGCGGGGCCGCTGGGAGGATGCCAGCCCGCGCTGGCAGGGCCGGCGTGCCCGCCGCCTCGGGGGGGGCTTGATTGCCACCACGGCGTGGCAGAAGGAAGGGGGTGCTGGCAGAAGGGGTGCTGGCAGGGCCAGCACGGGCGATGCTGGAGCCTACCTGCCTGCTGCCACCCTCTCCCGGGGGACTGCTGCTCCCCAGAGCTGCCACGGAGCAGCGGGGTACAGCTGCCGCCCCTGCCTCAGCTCCATCCCCGCGGACCACCTCTCCCTCTGCGAACTCTTCTGGGGCCTCTGCATAGACACGCTGAGAGCAAACTCTACTGCTGCCTTTTATCACGTCACATCTCTGCCAGGATTGTGTCTAGGTGAGGCAGATTAAGAAGGTATTACAGAATAGCTCTATAGTATCTATTTCTAAAGTTAATGTCTGTTTAACCAAAAAGCAAATATTTTGACTATGATCACAAACATACTAGATACTTTTGAGGTTTCGCCCTCTCTTCAGCCATAAATCAGCTTTAAAACTTTCTTTCCCTTAAAACTCAGGCTGACACTGTTGCCTCAGACGAGAAATATATTTGTGTTTTCCAGATGGCTGGAGATGGTGAAGGAATAGCATGGAAAGTCCTTGATGTGGAATCTCACTATCCAAAAGAATTTGGGGGGTCCCTAGAGCTCTCCAACGACACCTTCTTTTCACTGAGGATCAGAAACGTGACCAGCCGAAACAGCGGGACATATAAGTGCACTCTGGGGGAACAGAGTGGAGAACACAGTCTGAGCAGCACGGTCACATTAAAAGTAACAGGTACAGTAGAGACTCTCGACTGTCCCGTGCTCCATGTGGCGTTTCATGAAGGTAGCAGTTTAAAAATATTTTACAAGCGCCAGAACAACGTAACACCTTGCTTTACATTTTAGGTTGCCCTGGAATGGAAGATGAAAAATTAAAAAATACAAAGCTGAGCTTTTCATGCTGACTTGCCTTGGGATTTTCTACTTGATGCTCATCTTTTTTACCTGTGTAAGTAACTCGCTTTCTTGTAAACAAACCAACCAAAACCAACAAAAAACTCCACCGCACATTTTCTCTATTAGCACCACCTTAACACAGCTGGTCATAAGCTGGTATTCATGCTTAAGTTATGATCAGATCCTTTAGGTAACTGACACAGTATTTTCAAAGCCAGAGGAAAGTCAGGTGCACGAGGAACACAGGATGGCGTCCTGAAGAGATAAAACATTTCACTGCACCCTGATCTCACTCAAACTAGACAGTTATTTTCCTGCACCCCGCTGCCCATTTCTGCTTCCAGTTACCCTTCAGTTTGAGGGCACATCAACAGCTCTTCTGGTTTGGTAGTTGGGAACAGCATTTGCCTGAGATGGAAGCACAGGCCCCTGGGATCCCTTCCCCACTTCTGGCATTGCTTTGTGTGGCGGTACGGCGGACAAGTTCGAGTCCCCCTACCTTTTGCCTCAGTTTTGCTACTTGTAAGCAAAGCTCCTTCTTTCTTGGTAAACAGACATTTTAAGATCCTTGGAAAAGAACCTCCTTGGGGCTTTATCCATACCCTTAACGCTGGCTGGTAGTTCTGGGAAAGCAATGCCAAGGAATGTAGCTCTTGGGGAGAGGAGGTGTTTGGGAAGCTCACCTCACAGAAGCAAAGCTGTGCTTTGTCTGTTGTAGGGGTGAAGTCACCCCTTGTGCAGAGGTCTGTGCCTCCTCGCTTATAGGCTGCACGAGCCTTTCACGTCAACATAGTGCAACACTCTACTGGCTGCATTTCTGATTAAAACCAAAACCAAACCAACCTCAGCATTTTGGGAGGTCAGATTTAACTTTCTCTGCCCATTTCGTATTTGCCTTTTTATTTTGTTCCTCAGAAGATGAATCAGAACTGTTGATTGGAGAATATCTAATTAGCTACAGCTAAATGTAGCTTTTCATGTATCTTCAGGGAGCAAGTAAATTTATGCCTGTCTCTTTTTTAGATTGACAATCCTGCCAGTAATTTGTGCCATTCAGACTTAAGTTTGACAAGATAAATCTTGTAAGAATTTGTTAGGGTGAAAGTATGAAAGCAAGGATTTCACTCAGAAGAGACAGATGCCCCTGTTCTGCTCAGTGTCCTGAAAGAATTTCAGATCTCTAAAGAAACTCCCCTTCCCATACGTAAAAAAAAAAAAGTCCCAGTTTTAGTGGTACAGTTTAAAAAAAGCAGAACTATGTAGTAAAGATAACCACTCTGGTGGAATTACATGTATCTTTCTCTTGGGTGAGGTTCAGTCTCACGTATCAACCTAGCTTTCATCAAAGTTTAATATTGCCTTGATCTCACAAGTGAGCTTCATTATTTAAAATGCCTATTAAGTTCTTACAGGTTGCCTTGTTCTCTCCTCTAGTGGAGACTATGCCTAATCTCCACTAAACTCAAGTGACATCAAGTTTAAGACTGGTGTCAGGACTGGAACTTTACTTTGACAACTTGATAAAAATATTTTGGGCACTGACCTGTATTGAAGGCAGGTGGAAACACACTTGCAACAGCTTGATGCAGGGGCTATTCATCTGAAAACTTAAATTAAATATAAATTTTGTTTTGTGACTAAGGCTTTTGTCCTATAAAAGCTCCTTGACTGAGCAAGAAGCAGCAGCCTTTCTTTGTACTGCGTGCTTCTGGTGACAAACAAATGGAAAAGGTATCATCTATGGTTAGCAAGGAGAAAAAGCAACACTTTCAAACTTAAAAAAAAGTTGCCTTTCATAGGAACCCTCAGTTTTAAGCTTTCCTTTCTGTTTTCTCTTTTAGACATGTCTAAGAAAGGAGAGTATGTCTCCCAATTATCAAAAAACCAGACCAGATATGAAACACATGCTCACCCTCATCAGCGTACATGAAATGACAACTTTCCAGGATTTAAACAGCAACAGCAAAAATGAGCTTACTTCAAGTTCTGTCTAAGTTGATGCTGGTGGCACCGTGGGCTCATCAGTAAACACGACACGAGCTGGATGGCCGAGTGATATGGAGAGGAAATAAATGCTAATATATGGCCTCTTCAGAACAGCCTGAAAGTATAGGTAACTTGTCAGGTTGCACTGGACAAGTCTTCAAAAAGCACTGTTATGCACTACAGTAAATTTGGGGAGTTAGGCAGCTAAGAAATACCAATACAGCTACACATTGGTGTTACAATGCTGTTATGGAGCTGGCATCAACTTTTTTTCATGCTGCTTGTTCTGAGCAAGAAACAAAGGCCAGGTTGTAGGGAGGCCATGGCAGTGCAAAGCCGGAGGATTAAGCTCTCCCCTGATCTAATAGCTCTCATCTTTCAAAAGCAAACACAATGGGTGCTGCAGTATGGAAAGATAAGTGTGCAGCTCTGCCTCTGCCCCGTGCTCTGAGCCTGAACCTGGATGGAGTTCCTTTACTGCAAACAGAATGTACCTTGTCGTGTGATATTCAAGTAAGCTACAGAGGTAACTGCATGGTCTTGTGCTGGGTGAATCAAACCAACAGTTGTTTTTAAATCCGAGAGTGACAGATGGGCTGAAATGCAAGAAGGGAGGAAATATTCTGGAAATTTTTCTGGATCAAGAGGAACTTTCTATCTCTGCAAAAGAAGCAGGGATGCATTTGTATAACAGGTCCGTCAGTTATTTCCCAGAGGCATCTCTATAGGAATCCATATGAAGTTTCAACAAGACTGTTAACCTTAAAAGCAGCAAAAATAAGAATGAAGCAGCCTGTGATATTAAGGACGTATAAAGATGGCTTATTTTGTGGTTTATAAAACATGAAGCCAAATGTATGTGACACCTGTGTCAGTCAAGTTACACAGGTGATGACCAAAGCCATTGCTTGGAAGAAATCAACTGTCCATATCTTTGGGATGTATTAAGTTAGCCGTGAGATACAGGAATGGAAGATGGGGCCTATGAGTACCTGCTTTTGCTGCTGACAGTGTGTAGCATATCTGAAAAAAGGACATGAGAAAAGCTGGAGGGAGAGAAGGCTTGTCTTCTTGGACCAAAGTAAGCAAGACAGATTCTGGAGTCTGAAATCAAGGAACCTCCCTTATCGGGCTGCTAGTGCAGAAGGTGAAGCCAATACATGAGAATTTTCAAGCAAATAAGAACACAATCTTAAAAAAAAAAAAAAAAAAAATCTTTCAAGAGTTAAACTGCAATATTAGGATTTTTAATGAAGTTTGGAATTCCAGGCTGTGACAAGGATGCTCTTCCTGTAATCCTTTGACTAATTTTGAAGCACTGATAGGAGGAAAGCACTGTGTATCACTCTCAGTACTGTCTCTGTGAGCCGGGTGGGTGTCTCCACTGATGGAGTCCAAGGGGCTCCTGACCAGAAGAATGGTTGCAAGGGACATGCAATTTACTTAGGGCATGGTAAATTAATGCCACATTTGCTTTTTTATAATCAATTTATACATATCAGTGTGTGTAACATACTTAAAATAAAAATTCGGAGGTAACCTACCATTTGTTTTTGTGTGCCACATATGGCAAATAAACCCAGAAATACTGCGTATTAATTGCATTTTATTTTACAACCTACATAATTACATCAAATAATGTAGATGCCTGATCTAGTCTCCTCCTCTGTGGGAGAATATGCAAAATTGAGTAAGCAATGGAAAATTTTATGCATTTCTAAGAAACTAGGATAACTTAAATTTTCCTCAAAATTTCACTTTATGTCCAAAGTACATTCTAAAACATCTGTTCCCTACTGACAGACAAGTCATTAGGGAAAACACAGGGGTGTTTCCATCTACCCATAGTCATGTTTAATCATGGTGCACCATCACCAGTAACCTGTACACTTAGATAGCAGTAACACGAACTGAATGTGCATGTGTAATAACTGACAATTTATCCATTTGGCCAGAAAGGCTTAATACCTGACAGTCATAGTCTTTTGTTTCTTTTAATTTTTTTTTTTTTTTTTTAATGAAAGAGAACAAGAGGAGGGAAGGGAAAATTCAGTTGTAAAGCATTGATAATTAATCAGCAGCAAGGGCTGAAACACTTTAAAAATTATTTCTTCAGATGTTTAAATAGAATCAGATCAGATAGGACAGAATGAAAAAAAAAAAAAGGGACTTTGTGTAAGCAGCTATAACCATTATTTTTCTCCCTGAGCCAAACTGTCTGCAGTACAGAGGATCGGGCCTGAGGCAACAACACTGGGAGCCAAATTTCAGGATGGTTGATTCTGGCGATTTTCTGTAGGCCCAGCTGTGCAGTAGAAATGATCAAGCTCAAGGCCGCTTAAATGTGTTAAGGAGTTTAGAAGGTGTAAGCAGTGAAAAAGTCTTATGCCGAGATGTTTGACTGAATCACAGAGCTGGAGAGATACAGACAACGTCCTAAAGCAATGAAGGTGCCTGCACATCTGGGATGTAAGGGATGTAAAGAAATTGTTGTGGCATTGTAGGACAAAAACTAACATTAGTTAGAAATATTCCAAATGAGAACCAGAGAATTGATATTTGAGCAACTTCATCACTAATAGGGAGGAAAAAAAAAAAAAAAAAAAAAAAAATCACATGTTGGCTGAAAATCTTACAGAATGAGCTACACATTTTTCAACATAGTATGTCAGAAGAAGTAGTCCTTTCCTTGCAATATGGACCTATTCATATTTCAAAATTACTGCCTCAGCTAGCCCGGCATACAGGGGTTGAGCACATGCACACGTTCTTCAGACTTTAACACATCATTATTAAAGGGAACATGTTGTGGATTGCACAATCAAGAGGATGTTTTGATTATACAGATTAATTGCTTTGTTGGACAGAAAAATCTGTTTTATTTTCCAGCACTCTTCCTATTATCAATGCCTTTAATTTTGTAAGATAATATAAAAGCATGTGTATGCTAAAATGGTTCTTTGTAATACTTTCTTACAATACATTTTAGAATCAGGAATTTAGTTAATCCAGATAAACCCATGAGGTGGGAAATACCATAATCTTTAATTAAATAAATAATGAACAAAAGCTATGACACCTGGAAATCAGAAAGCTCCTGAAGAAGTCTGGATCAGAACTGGGAAGTGGTCCAAGGTTTCCTGACTCTCCTCTGGCTGCCTTAACCACAGGAGCTTCCTTGTTAATATTTAGTAATTCTTCCATTGATTTTTTTTTTTCCCTCTGTAACCTGAATTTTTCTGTTGTTTTGTCCAAAGGTGAACCATCTGCATTCAAAGATAATAAGCATTATACATAGAATTACTCATACAGAGCGAGTTTGCACACCTGTGATTAAGGAATATAGAGCAAAACACTGCACCACGTGGGAAAACTACCCCAAAGAGAAATTGCAACAGTCAAACACCAGAGCTAAATGAATATCCAAAATGGCAATGAAGGAAAGTTAAAGGACATAATCCACAAAATGCTGAGTGTATGAATTATAGCCCTTAGCTAAGCCTGATTTGTGTAGCTAGCACTTATGCAGCAGATAACCCAGGCTGACAGTGACCTTGACAGCATTGCAACAGTAATATTTCCTGTAAAGGCCGAACAGTTTTCAACCTATTTCTCCTGCTCAGGAGTTACAAACATGCTTGTATTCAACAATGTGGACCAAGTAATCCTCAGTATGTGCCTGTGAATGATACAGACAGAATATGGCTCTTTGGGCATGCCAAATACCTGCCTCCCTCATTTCTTCTGCCCTTGATAAGACCATTTTGGAGAGCATAAAGAGCATTTCCCTGGTGCACGCGTTCCCTTTCCTCCCCCTCCCAGCATGGAGCTGAGCAGCTGTGCGGCACAGAGGGGATCTGGTTCCAAGTCCATTGAGCAACTGTAAAGTATTTAGTGACCTTCTCAACCAATATGTCTGCCCCTTGGGAACCACAATTGATTTTTCTCATCTCTGTATGTGAAGACAACACTTCTACACTATGCTACAGCTACACAGTTAAAGGCAAATTGGAAGTGATTTCCCCACACCTCCTTTTTACGTAAATATCAGTGAAACACTTAGTCATTTGTGGAACAAACTGCTGAGGAGAACAAAGAGTTACAAATAAACACGGTACCAAATTTTTCGCTTGATTATCTGTTCTTTTCACTTCTTTGCCAAGACCTGTGTTTGCACTACTCTGCTTTTTGCTGACTACAGCTGATACTACTTCTGCATAAAGCTGCAAGAGCAGCACTGTTAACTCTCCAGAGCGGTGACATAAATCCTGAAAAATCCACCAAGGGAATGGGTGGTGGCAAGACTGACATGGGTCGCTGCAAGGAGCAGTGGGTCCTTTGAAGGCTTCGTCTTACGTCCAACCCATAAAAGTCTTCCCACCCTTTGATGGAAAAGCTTGCTACATCCCTGTGGCTGAGTTACAACTGCATCTGTTTGCTATGCTGCAAATGGACAGCCTGGGCTGTTTTAAGCATTTGCTCTGCTACAAGACAGATGTCACAGACAGTGCAAAAAAGAAAAACCAACCCCAGACCCAGCCAAAACCAATAAATCCATCTCCATGGGCACATTGAAGGCAAGGGGCAACAACTAGAAGAGACAGGTCCTAAGGGAAACACAGACTGTACAAGCCCAGTGCAAACATGGGTTTTGCTCTCCACAGCTTTTCAATTGCTTCTGCGAAGGGAGTAAGAACAGCCTGTAGCTGTTGGTGGTTTTTTGTTTGGCTGTTTTCAGAAACATTTGCACTGTATGCCTCAGTTTCCCTATCTATAAACAGGAGTGAATGAGCTCAAGTGTTGTCTTGTGTCAGAGTCAGGGAAACTGCCAATACTTGTTGCCTACTTGGAGCTGAAAGGAGCTTTTTACCCCAGTTTTCCTTTAAGGGAGAGAACAGGTCTGAACTGCTGGATGTTAAAGGAAAAGGTCCTGCTGACAAGAGAAACTGGATTAATAAGAATCGGTAAGTAGAAAAATACAGGAGTTTCTGCAAATGCTGGGGTCTAGACCAAGCACCTGTAACACAAATGTGTGACAGTTTCCACCCACTCCCTTTTGCTATTTTCATCCCATCTGAATTCCAGCTCTGCCAATTCACTCTCACATCTGTTCTCAGACTTGGTATCAACACCAATTTAATCACATTCCTTCCATCTACTGAGCTGGAAGTGTATGGTTATGTACAAGCCAGGAGAAATTAACCCTTCCCCTTCATTAGCACCCACTAGCATGCCTCTCCCGCGATGGGGCTGCTGGTGTTCAGGTGGGGAGCAGAGCCAATGGGGCAGCGCCAGCTCCCCGAACGGAGAGTGTGCTGAACACATCCCTGCTGAAATAACCTTGCAGATGCAGACTGAGCACAAGAGGTCTGGAAGGCCAGCAGCATCTGAGGCTCTGTGAACAGGAGCACAGCCAGCAGATCGAGTAGATCACCCTACTCAGCTCAGCACTCCTTAGACCACATCTAGATAGCTCATCCAGTTCTGGGCCCCCAAAACCGTTCCCCATGCAGTCAGGGCTGGGGTGGTAGCCCTGCGAGGAGGGGCTGAGGGACTGGGCCTTGTTCAGCCTGGAGAAGAGATGGGTTTGGGGAGACCTAAAAGCAGTCTCCCCAATACCTATGAGAAAGTTATGAAGAAGACAGAGCCAGGCTCTTCACAGTGATGCATGGCGGCAAGATGAAAGGCAATAAATATAGGTTGAAACAAGAGTAGTTACGACAGGAATATCGTTTTCCCTGTGAGGACAGCCAAGCAGTGGAACAGGTTGTTCACAGAGACTATGGAGTCTCCATCCCTGAAGGTTTTCAAGATCTAACTAGACAAAGCCCTAAGAAACCTGGTGTGATCCTATAGCTCACCCTGCTTTGAGCAGGAGGTTGGACTAGAGACCTACTGATGTAGACCGAGTAAAACCATAGGTTTGGGTTAATGACACTATTCAAGTTAGAATTAGATACACTCTGTATAAACAGTGTAGGCCTTGCTAACAACTATGCCTTTTAAGAGAAGCTAAAAGACTAATAAGAGCAGAACATCGTGCCCCAGAAGGCAGCAGAGGCTGGATGGTTGCCCAAGAAATGAAAACTAGGGGAAAGGTAAAGATGGCAGGGGGAGATCATGACCACCGACTCAGTTCAAGACCAAAAAGGCTTGCCTCATGACACCTGTAAGGAGCATTCGTGCTAATTTATATAGCAAGTGAGGCTAATTTAAATATAACTAACCAACAGCAGACAGAATGGTAATTACAGGCCAATGAGTGTAAATTTAGGTAAGTTTTTACTTATCATGTAACAAGATAAATAGGCTGTAGTTCCTTTGTGTGGTGTGCTAATTTTCTGGAATTAGCACCTAGCACCCACCTCTGCGCAAACATGAAATAAAAGAAATACCTCCATCCTGTGTGTATCGGCTTGCATACTGGATGAAAGAACCCTTCTTTTAGGATAACACTGAGGTCCCTTCCCACCTCAATTATCCTATGAATCTACACTCTTCATGGTCAACTATTTATCACTACTCTTCAAGATGTTCATCACAGTATGAATGGAGCACCTGAAGACATCTGCCCTCTGCCAGGAATGACCAATGGTATCTCACACAAAAATTTGACTGTAAGTTAAAAAAATTCCTAACCTGCAGCACACCATGGCAAAAGAGCCAGCCTCCTGTTTACAAGGCCAAGATAAGTTTCTCACACCAGGATGCTCTGTGCAACTTTTGTCCTGGCAGGCATCGGAGCTCAGCACTGCTACCTTGTGGGGCAGTTCAGCGGGAGGGTCACGGCTGATGGCGCTGGAGCCAAAATGCTTTCCTGGCTTGGGGAGGCAGCTCCCCCTTCTCTGTATTGTCTCACACAGCTCCCATCCTCAGGCCTGAAACTGTGCCCTTAACTTGCTAAAAATTGCGATCCTAGGTCAGATGCCGGGACCTTTCTGCTAGGCTGCAAGACATGGGTCCTGAGGATATGTCTTCCAGCTAAGCCCCGCGAGACCTGCATTTTACAGGACTGAAGTTACTCAAGAACTCTTCATCACTGTCTTACTTTCTAGTGATAGTAGCAGGAAGCCTGTGTTAAGGACTATGAAGTGCACCTATGTTGCGATAAAGATGATCTGTGTGGGACATTTTGGAGGCAACCTGTTGCCCAAGCAGAAACGAGAGATTTGCATACTATAGTAGCACTTTTGTTAAGATCACAGCACAGTATCTACATGCAAATCAGGTTGCCAGGCCCTGTGTCCTACTTACTATACAAATACAGTCAAGTGGATTAAGATCCAGGCAATTGTGACCGGCTTACTGCTCTCTACTTAAAAGAGGGACTAGTTCAAGTGCTCCTTCCCTTGGAAAAACAAAAAAACCACTCCCCCCCTCCAAAAAAAGCCCCACCCAACATCAGTAAAAAAAGACAAGCAACACTCCTACAGCATTTATTACAATTCACAAACAGCCAAATTTTGCCAAGTTTGCAATGACTCTAGAATAAGAGATTCTCCCCTCAGTTCATGCTTCCTATCACCTAAGCAGGTGTCAAATCTCCTGGGTTTGTCTCCTCACAGCTTCTTTCCATTTCACTCCATCTTAACAGCTGTAAATGTCTCTGGTAAATTGTGCTAGTACATTTCCATTAACATTAGCAAAAGAGAAAAAATGTCAACTCCACTGACAACAACTGTCGGTGTATGAAGATTAATCTTTATATAGCACACAGAACACGGATCTGTTCTACATCTTCCAGTACAGCCTGTACTTTGTTTCTACTCCTTCTCAACAATAGCTTGCATGCAAAAAAAATAAAAAAATTTAAATAAAAATCACTATTTTAGCATTAATATGTTCACACTGCTATTCTCCCAGTCTTCACAATTTATGCTGTACTTGGCATACTACTTCTCTTTCTGCTAACAGCACAGGAGACAAGTTACTTGCCCCAAATTCATACGAAAGACAAAATACAGTTTTTGTTCTGCTTTGAAGAAATACTCACAGACTTAGCTTATTTACAGCTCATAGCATAGAGTTAAAGCTTTTGCCACATTAAATAGCAACACACAACTGAACGCATGGGAGGCCTACCCTGACATGAACATGATGGCATGGCAAGTGTTAAAGCTTTGTGTATGGTAAATTGGGGCTTTGAAAAACATCTCAGTTGGGAGCAATTTTGGAAAATTTTGAAACATGAATTACTGACTCTCATTCTCCTCCCCCACCTCCAGAGTGGTCTTTGAGGATTGGTCACTTTAGAGGGGAAAAAAAAAAAAAAAAAGCCTCGACACTTGACATACTCAATCCATCCATAAACGTAAACATGCCTGAGCTGCAATTGGATTTTTCTTTTACTAAAGAGCATGTGGAAGCAATTACCTGAATGTAAATGTGATAAAGAATGGATGAAATGCAAACCAAATGATGCCTTATTACTTAATATAAAGAGACTGTTCTGCGAGATCAAAGTTGTTCAGCACAAAACGTAATGGGCTTCACTGGAGAGACAGGCTTCAGAGATTTGTTTAAAACATGGCTGCATTTTGATGAAATGCTAAGTAGACAAAATTGGGGTAAGTTTAAAGAGTTTCTCAGAACCTGACCTATGATCTGCAATAACATCTTTTCTCTCCTCCCACCTTCTCCTGCTCTGTGGTGTTCCCAGATGCTGCGAGGGTGGTGAGAAACTTCCCTGGCTTCGTTGTGGCAGGGATGAGAACTACTCTATCCTGAGGTGTGAAAGAAGTGTCACCACTGGCACCCCCTGCGGACACCAGAAAGGGAAAGACGATCCCAGTACGTTTGCATCGTACCCCTTGCACTGGGGCCTCTGTATGCCCCAGCCATTGCTCCGTGCCCACTTGCTACCTCAGCATATATTTGTCCTTTGAGTCAATAAAATCAGGAAAGGCAGCGAGACAGCTTCTCGCAGGAACAAAAGAACTGAAGTGGATGATAAACCTCAAGAGTCATTTACAAATGTTTTCCTACAATTCCCATCCAGAGCCTGCTTTGTCCTCCACCACCTTCTGCAGTGGTAGTTCTACTTCTCTATCACTTTATAGTGATTTATAATTTTAAAGAAGCTGTATGCAACAGACAAGAAGGTATGTTGGGAAAATGGGGTAGCGGTTTCTGCAAAACTCCACAAGAACATCTGAACTTGTCATCTTGGCCTTGCCTTCCTTCCCGCATCCCTCCCTGCCTGGGAGCTGCTGCTTATTGCTTTTGCCCAACTATTGTTTCTGATCATGTAGATTGGGCCATCATCTTTGTCAGAAGTCTGTAGAGTATCTAGTGCAATGATTGACAGTGCTGGGTCCCTCCATAGCATAAATCAGTGAGCAATAAAGTTAAGTATCCAAGTCACGTGTAGAGAAGGTAACCTGACTGTAAGCATTAATTACAAAAAAAAAAACCAAACAAACCAAAAAACCCGCAAACATTTAATTAGGAATGTTGGATCTTGAGTTATTGAAAGGATTACGAAAATAATACAAGTTAAAAAGAGCATGCACAGAATTAATGCTGCCTATCTCCCACAGTGTTAGCTCTTTAAAAGAAATCAAATATGTTAAACTCCCGAAGAGACTATTTTCTTTTGTTTTTCAATTACATGCAATAATGGGAAGCGTTTTGTGAATGAGTCTGATGTTTGTGCCTCCAATAAAACCCAGGGTACTGTACCTCATTCATGCTTATTAGCAATCTCATAAACAAAAAAAAAGATAACAAAATTATGATTGAATCAGACATTCTCCCTTCCCATCAGTGAAGAGTTACTAAGTATTGCTATTGAAAACTCATTGTTATGCATAATTTTTGCAGTGGTCACAGTGTTCAAAGCAGCTTAGGGAGCAAATATAAACCACGCTTGCCACCTCAGAGAGCATAGAGTTTGCAGTGGCTTTGATCATGCAAACACAATAATTCTTTCATTTTAGAGGGGTTATTCACAGGAATAAATATTAAAATGATACCAAGCATTTGCACTGTCAGATCATAATTAGATGTGAACATGACACATTACAAGACAAAAGAAAGATGGAAAAATGTAATGATTGAATACAGCTCACCTGGGTGAGCTGTGTGATCATCCCAGTGCTGTAGCAGCTTTTCTGGTTTCCCTTCTCCTCTCCAGCCTGCTTTGAGACAGAAACTGGCGGTCCCCAGAGAGCCAGGAACAACAGGATGGGAGCTGGGGTCAGCCTTAAATTGGCAACAATTGGCAGTGCAATTCAGAATAATGACAATGTGGCAAAACCAACCCATCAGCTGAGAGATTCCCTTTCTTATAGCAGTAATTCAGCTTGCAAGCACAACCTTAGGCTCATGTTTAATCATTCCTTTCCACCATTATTTGTATGCCCCTCCCCCCAGTTTTAACTCCAAACCAGACAAATGAAGGATTTGAGGCCGCTCCCATGATAACAGCTGAGCAACTCATCATTCGCTGCAACGGGAACAGGTTCAGGCCAACATCTCCCACTTGAGACCAACATTGGGCTGGCAGCTCCTCGTTAGCTCATTAGCTTCATTACCTGTGGGTAATGGTCAAGTCAGAGTAATTCGCTGTTATGTGGGTCGTATGCTTTGGAGCTCATTTTGTGCCCTGCAGAGCATCAGCAGTCCATCATTTCACTGAGTGCTCGGTTTTAAAAATAAAACCTACTACCACTAGCACACAGGCTCACTCGGAGAGATGTGCCTCGTTCAAAACACGCTGCGTGGTCACTCTTGTACTAGCGTGGCCCGGTCTCTTCTTCGCTACGGAGTCATATAAAAGTGGATTGTAATCCCTAATGACTTTTTATTTATTTATTTATTTAGGCACTTCCTTTAAGCTTTAGGTTTTTTTTGGAGTTAACACTTGGGCTGTGAGGTTTTTGTCACTCTTCCAGGTTTGAGATGGCAGAGATTTTAGTGAAAGTATAAGATATTAATTGTGGGGATGGACTTCAATTTAGAATGCTGGCTACAAGCTTAGTGGGCTTGTACCAATGGATACTGTAGGGCAGGACACATCCATCACTAAGCAAGCCCAAATAAACAGAGCCAGTTTTGTTATGCTGTTCCCCTTAAATTCTCAACGATGTAAATGTGCCTTCCTGTGGGATTAATTCACAGCTTCAAACCTATTGCGCCAGAACCTGCTCCGTGCATGCAGCACCTAGTTGGCAGCATGCAGCCTTGACTTTGCACAGATGTAACCGTGAGCAGAACCTGGCCCCAAACTCTGAAAATAAGCGGTTTAATTAGGAAGATGAGAAACTGAAAAGCTCCTAATGGCAAGAGCTGAAAGACCCTACATTTGCAAAGCATACCAGGAGATCCTGAGTACTTCCATTTTAGCTGCCTGAATTCATCATCCCAAGAGACAGATTCCAGGTGTTTTTTCCCAACAACACCCAGCGTTTTGTGATGGGAGGGGACCCATGTCGCCAGACAGATGGTGTCCATGTTACCAGTTAATGGTTGTGCTGACAGTTCGGGGGCCAAAATTAGGTCTGCCTGTCCTGGAGAGCCCCCAGCTCACACTAATTAGAAATCTGGGTGCCCACTGTGCCCCTTGTGGACTGATGGCTCTTCCAGCACCCAAATAGTGGTTTGGGTGGCCTCATTGACACCTGCCTTTAATTACTGAGCCTGGATCCAAGAGGGTGCTGGCAGGGGTGTGAGTGGATGGGAGGGGACCAGGGCTGGGCAATGCTCAGGAGGTAGGATTTGGAGCCTCTGCTCCCAGCTAAATAAAAAGCAGCATGTTACCAAGGCAGCTGGAGGAGGTACTCCATCATCCTCTGACATGGGATGCTTTTTTTTTTTCTGCTTGCAAAACAACTCCTGTGCCTGGCAACTGCAGTCAAGTCAAATATTAGACCCCCTTCTGCAACCAGCTGCTTGTCAATCCCACACGTGCCAAGGGGAACTGCAGTATCTGCCCTCCACAGCCGTGGAAATGCAACGGTATTGTGGAGAGACAATCTTTAGTCACTTGGACATTCAGTGTTTCATTTCCTTTTAAAAGCATTTTCAGGACTTTCCCCCCCCGGGTGATAAGAGCTTTCTTTGAAATAAAACCAGTTCACCTCCAAGCAGACATGGGAAACAGTTTTGGGGAAAACTAGCTCCAAAGAGAAGTCTCAGCTAACAACATGAACATGCAACAGAAGGCTGCGATGGCACAAATGATGTTTCAACCATGTGTGGGATGCCCCAGAAAAAGCTCCAGGTGTCCTTTCAGGCCACTTCGCTGTCCTCATCTGCTTTTTATGGCCACTTCACAGCTTCAGAAAGCAGACTTTGCCCTCTTTTAAACTTGACCTGCTCTGCCTAGTTGTGTGAGGACATAACCCGGTGTCTGCAACATCACAGCCACTTCCATGATGAATTGGATTTGTCAGGCTCTGGGCTGTGGTCTTATAATGTGCTATATTATTAAGTTTCTTTGCCTTAAGTTGCCAGCTAATGGAATAACCTCTTTGTCTTTATTAGAAAGAGTCCCCAGCTTTATTAAGTTACATAATTTACAACCAATAGCGTAATCAATAAAACATTAACAAACATGTAACCTTAGACAAACCTCACATATTGATTTCTTTAAACATTCTCACAAAGCATGCCTTTGGCCAAAAAAACCCATTCAGTCCCAGTGGCAATCCCAAAAAACGCTTAATGTATTAAGATTTGGGCACTGAAGGACAAATTGAATTGGCTTCCTTGGAAATAAAGGCGCTCTGCTGGTTTCTGTGGATCCACTTCAGAACAGTTATTTTCTGCATTTTAGAAGGAAGCTCCAATTTTCTCTTCTGTGCCTCATCTTTGCAAGGAAAACACAGTATGTTGCAAAATACAACAATTACCACACAGTTAAAAATGAATATAAATAATCTCTGTGCATGGACAAAAATGGGTACTGCAAAACCTATATTAGCTGATGATGATTAACCCTGGGGTTTCCCAGGTGAACTGTAGCTAGCTGTGGTAGTATCAAGCTTCACCTAGCCCTGGGTCTGTGTTGGGTAGGAAGTTGTGTTTAACATTAGGTAAGTGACTCATTTTTCTAACACAACACCTCATGTAAATATGTTTTCCAGCCATAAAAAAAGCTTCTGATGTCTCTTGAGTGTGGTTTAGTGGATGATACCGATATACCCTCAGTTATGCTTTTGATGCAATCAGGAAAGTTAGTATTTTATTATCCCTACCGCTCTATTTTCAAGACTGCGGAAAAAAAACCTCAAAACATCAGACAATGTCTGCCAGGGAATCTATGTGCATTATCACACAACAGAATTGCACCAATGATAACTTCACAGGTAATTTAGAACTAGACTGGAGGAAGTAGCAGAAAAAGAGTCACAGGGAACATTCCCGCACAAGCAAGGAAGTAGAGCAAACGTGCATCTGCTCCATCTTCAGTTTCAGCCATTTGGTGAAGGCATACACACAATTTCTGGAACAATTAAGTGCTTAATCATTTTGTAACCTATATCCTTGAGCAGTACATTTATGGAAGGAAATTTTATGGACTGCTTTTCTTTAAAAACAGAATCATCTACTCATTTTGCAAGACTTTGAAAGGTTTCCTTTTCAAAAGGGATGTAGGCAAGATGGAGGAATAAAGCTTCCCAGTAAATGTTGGGGACCAGTGTGCAGAGTTCCCATGTCCCCTTTGGAGACTTTATCATTTAACAGCCACAACTCCCCTTTATTAGATCACTATAAAACAAGTGCCTGGAGGGAGTCAGAAATGAATTGAATTTTGTAGATTTAAATGATTGTGTGGGACCTTTTTGGTTTAATATATACCCTGGAGAGGTTTGCTACTAGAACTTGGGAACTTTATAATAAGAATAATTCCTTAGCTAGAGATCTTTATCTTGTTACATTAATGATTCACTGGGGGGGTTATACTGGAAAATTAAGGGAAATTTTTAAAAAGGCTATTAGATCAAATGTTCTTATGGAGATATATACAGAGATGGTCAACAAAGATTTATAGGCTGGTGAGATAAGGAGTTTACTGCCTTTGTGCTGTATGTACAGGGCAGCCAGCTGTTGAATGAGGTCCTCTCTGTGCTGTTACTTGGTGTTGTCTCCAACCTACAATAAGGTAAGGCTTTGCAGGCTGCCTCCCACTTGTGCACTGCAAAATATGCATGCAGCAAGGGAATTCACATAATAGTGGTTGTAACTACCTTAGCTTCAATGGTACGAACCAAACTCTGCATCCAGATCTATTTTTTTTTTACATTTCTGCCTTTATCCCAGAGGTTTCACAGCACTATTGCTCAGCTCCAGCGCTGCCACGTCAGTCCCAGCACATACTATTTGTAGTGCCCACAGCTCCTGCTGGATTTGGTGACCGTTTAAGTTCTCTAAATAGCAACTGTGTGGTCTCCAAGGATGTGCCATTTGGAGAACGCAGATTCTGCTCGTACTTTGCCCATGCAAAACTTTTACCACATTTCTGCCATTTATAGTTGCCACTGTAAAGGGCTTTGAAAGCCTTTTTCCTGTATCACATGGTTTTACCTGTGATCACGACTCACCAGTTTTAACAATAATATCAGGGAATTGAAGGATCCACTACAATCCCCAGGGCTGAAGCTAGGCATCCAAAAATAATAAGGCAATTAGGAACATGCAGAGTGGCATTTTAGACCTGAGGAGGGTGATTTTTTTCACCCAACTAGGACGAATTCCCATTGACAGTCAATAGAAATGAGAATTGAACAACCCTGTATCCTTTGCAAATCCAAGCAAAACTGGAAAGAAATGGGGAACATACATTTGCCCTTTGCTATCAAGACTCCTTCAGGATCTGAGAAGAAATTGCTCATAATGGATATATTAATAGTCATAGCCAGTGCCTGGATCTTAAATGTGACAGTGGGGAAAGTATGCTGGCTTTTGCTTGACAGGGGCTGCAGAGAGAGTAGTAGCCACCAGAGATGTCCAAGAAGCCCAGTTTGACCCAATTACTAACAACATCTGCTCCTACTTCTTTAAAAGTCTGGGTCTTGTCCCAAGTGCCATGCACGAAGCATGGCATCCTTTGGTCCCTTCTTTGCTGGTGTTACCTCATCCTTGTGTCCATGATGGGTGAAAGGTAATTCCCTTGGCCACTTCCTCTCTCCTGCACACAGAGGTCCCAAGATAGCTGTAAAGGTGGATGTAAGAACCCCAGGGAGACTTGCAGAGGAGAAGAGCCCAAGGCTAAACTCCGCTGCGACAGATAGGAGGAAAAGAAAATCTGTAGTGCTGCTCTGTAGCTCAGCAGGAGCTGAGGAAATCCCACACCTCTTGGGATCAAGTCTCCTGAGAATAATTTGGGGGTAATCCTGGGCAAAGAGCACTGCATGCTGAATGTTTTTGTGAAGGCAGAATGAGAGCATTGTGAAGTGCGTAACATGCACTTTACTCAGTATAGATCTGGAAAAAAATGTCAAAGGAAATGAATTTAAATTCCTCTAAATGCAATTAGAGGTGACAAGATTTCTCACGGTGAGAGACTGCGTTAAAGCAAAAGTTAAAAGTTCCCATCCAGTTCATAAAGCCTTAGGTAGCTATTGGTAATATGAATTAAATTAATCAAAATGGGTAAAAGCTAATGATCCTCTAGGGAACAAAATTAGCTCCTTAATGAAAGAAATGGAGTTCAGAAATTATAATAGAATATTAGCCAATGTGCCCTTTGGAAATTATAAATTTGCAAAATCCCCTTATGTAGATATTAGTTTGAGTCAAATTATCACTAAATCTGACCCTGGAGATGTGATGTGAATACGTGCACTACGATCTGTTCAGAAGGACCTGGAATCCTCTGTCAGCAGTTCTGCCGGGCTGGGTTGGGTGACACAGAGCACTTTCCTGAGTTAGCAACAGGGCACAGCCAAACCCCCAAACTTCCACTTGTAATCTGCTAAAGTCTTGTTAAGGAGTCCTACTGCCTCTTGTCGTCTCTGGGTTGCTGAGAATAATTATCCTACAGGAGATGTTTTCAGGAAGACTCACATTTCAGTAGGACGTAGGCGGTCCTTGTCCTTGCAGCCATCCCAGGCAATGGATGTTCTGTGTTAGGTGTGGGTCACTACCTTGAAACCAAAGCATAAAAGACAACTTATCAGTGTGGATCAGTGCGTAGTGAGGAACAAGAGACTCATTAGAGATCCAAGACATGTCAATGTCACAGAAAACAAACAAACAAACAAAAATATGATGAATGGCTCATGTTGAGACTACAAAGAATTTATTACATGTTTTTATGGCTCTTTCCAGCCAAGAACTTTTCTCAGCCCTTTATGGAAAACATAAAAGCCACTGGGAGTTAAATAGGATAAGAACTAGATTTAAATCATCCTTACACATGCTGCTCACATCAGCATACAGCTGTTTTTCAGCATTTGGAGTCCTTGAAACTTTTAAGCCATTTAGAACAGCATGTGATTGGTATGAAAAATAGCACAGGCTTTCTTTTTATAAAAAGAAATCACGCTCCGGGGTGCTGGATGCAGGGACTCCAGAAGCCAAGAAAGATGTTTGAAGTGCTTATTGGCATTCCAGGACCCAGAAAACTCTTCCTGCCTCACGCTATCTCATAGCAATCCTGATGCCTCCATCCTGGGAACAAAATGAGGGAGGCATTCCCTCTGGTACAGATGGATAATGTACAGCACAAAGCATGCTTGAGTCCCCAATTTGAGGATGTAATGTGCATAGTTGAGAGAATGAGGTCTTCCTTTTATTTCTGTATTTATAGCACAAACGGCAGCACCGTAGGCTTCTTCATACTGTCCTGCTATGGTCAGGAGTTTGCATGTTCCACTCAATAAGACATTAACCATAAAAAGATCTTGGACAAGGGAAAATCCAATTGCCCTCAGGAAAGTAAGTCCTCCCCCATCCCAGAGGGGAACAATTCCCAGTTCGCACAAATAAAAAGGCAAACCAAAGACATTAGACAGGGACAGGAAGAAGAAGAGAGGGAAAAAAGAAAGGCCCCAAACACGTCATGGGAAGTTCTCGTAGAAGAAATATGCTGTACATTGTACCCTTGAAATCTGTGAACAAATGACTAGGGGAAAGAGGGACACAGCTGAAAGCAGTGGGATTGGGCTGGTGCTTGAGATCACACAATGTTAGCATCAGACACAGAAATGTGTGATTCTTCGATGCTCACCCTGAAAGAGCTTTGCAAAGATGGATCCACAACATTATTACCACTTTTTGGATAAGCAGACTGAAAGAGAAAAAAAATAGAGTGTCTTTGCCCAAGACATAAAGAACAGAAGTCCTGTTTTTTAAAGGTCTTTCAGGTTTTGAAAGTTGACTTTATTCTGAATTGCAATGAAACCCCCAAAGTCTGAAATTCGCAGCTGAGGGGAATTAAAAAAAAAAACCACAACTCAACATATTTCAAGTTGATTGGCAGGTTTTGTTGTAATGGAAACTGAAACATTCTGTTTTGACTTTGACTTTTTAAAGTTAATATTATGTTGTAGCAAAAAAAGCTAATACAAAGTAAAAAAAAATCGAGGCAGAAAGTTGTTTTAAAATAAAAAATAGAATGGGATGTTTCAACACTATATTGTCAATAATTTTTCCACTGATTTTCTTCCAGGAGTCTGCTGAAAGAAATCATCTTTTACAAAGTGTTTTGATTTCTGATGGCAATGTAGTCCTTTTGCAATTTTTCTGACCAGCTGTGCCAAGAACAAAACTCTGACATCTCACTTCACCATCTAAGGACACATTTTAAATATAAGAATACTTTAATACAAGAAGTATTATTTCATACCATCAGCAACATGACTTTTTTCAACACGGTATTGAAACTGCCATACTGAGCCTGACCTGAAATTCATTCAGGTCAGTGTGTCTTAGTCACTGATAGCCCTGAGTTGCCTAATCTGTTTTTGAACCTGTTTTCAGTTGACATCTGTAATGTTCAGTGGCAATGAGTACCACAGTTTAAGAGTTTATATATATTAAGGCAAAAAATGCTTTTGTTTATTTCAGTCTTGCTGCTTCATATTTTTCACTGGGTACTTCATGGGTCTTGTACTGACAGAAATCGTGAATCATCATTCCCCATACGCCTGCTCCACATCATTCCCAAATTTGTAGGCTTCTTTGATATTCCCCCTCAAAAGTTGCCTCATCTCTTATTATCCTGTGTAATTTTGTCTTTTCTGCAGAATTTGTCACTTCATGAATCACTAGTTTTGCTGGAAAACACATGAATACATAGAGCAAGAAAGAGCAAGAGCAAGAACTTTGCTGCCCGGGAGCTCACCTCCCTGCGGTGTCCCTTACCCTGTGGTCCCCACAAGAGTCTTCCTTCCTTAAAACTTGTGGTGAGAGATCTTGTCAAAAGCATTGTGAAATTCATTACTTATCACCTGGATCACATTTATTCAGGAAGTTGCTAGCTCCCCCAAGTCTCTCTGATATGTTTTAAAGGTAAAACTTCACAAAATCTGTGCAGTTCTTCCCCAGCAACATGTATGTATTTTTGTGTCTAAGAATTCTGTTTATGATTGTTTCTACAAGTTTGACTGGTCTTTAACGGAGATTTACTGATCTGTAGTTCCCAGTGATGCCTACAGTCATTACTAAAGACTGGTGACACATTTGCCACTGTACGTTATTCTGGGGAAAAAATGACAGCTTGCATACCACAATTAGTTCTTGAATAATTTCATACCTGAAATCCCTTATAACTCTTCAATGACCTCTGTCTGGTTCTTGTGATTTAGGCAGCAATCTCTTCTATTGATGATTCTGTTTTAGGTAGCTCCTTAGGCTCCTCAGCATCAAATACAATTTTGGTGTGAGACCCTGTCTGACAGGTAGAGAATAGTGAGACCAGTAATTAATTTCCTCTTTCTATAATGACCTTGCCTCTCTTGAATACTTCTTTTGCTTCTTGATCATCTACTGGTTTCATTGCCTCTTTTCTTGTATCAGATGTGGTTGCATTTGTTATTGCTTATTCTGCTGCCATTATCACTGATACCTTTTATGTTTTAGGCAAAGACCTACTGAAAATCTTTTTTTCCTGGTTCATTTAGTTTTACATTTAGCATTTAGCATGCAAGAATTTATCTTTTCTACTTCTCTCATTTTAATGCTTAATTTATTTCCAATAGCTTTTTTTTTACTAATAACCAGAGTGGTTTTCTGAACTGTTGCTTTTGTATTTAGCATGGTATCTCTCGTCTTCTTGCTGTCTGCAAACATTACTTGCTCTTTCTATTTTTCTTTGCATGGGTAGCTTCAGTATTAAAGCATATTTGATGACAAATACTGAAACTTACTGTTGATATTTAGCACATGTATTACTCAAGGGTTATTTTGTGACTAGTATCACCTGAGGAGTATAAAATGTTAATAGCTATTGGATCAGTTTAGTTTCCTTGTCAATTGTTGACATTTTTATTTCACCACTGTAAGCTGAGAAAGAGTAATGCAATAAATCCCTGATAAAACACCCTCTGGTCTCCTAGTCTGGTGACTTATCCTCTAATCATAACACTTTTTAACCATCTAACTTGCTTTTCCTAGTTCAGAACTCATTAAATCTAGATTATTTAATAGCTTTCTTACACATTTTCCACCTGTCTATCATCAAACGACCCTGTATCCAGTGAGAATTACAGCGCTTCCTCACTTTAGAGACATAATTAGTATGAGGAGATGTATGGTAACACAAGCCATGGAGATACCAGCTCAGTTCATGCTATACATGAGAAAGTTTTTCATCTCCCCCATCATGTGATACTTATTTTCTTTGGAGGTTTCCAAGCCTCAACCCCTTTATCTACTTATTCTGTGAAAATGGAGTCTACTTGCTGAGATGTAAGACCTGATACCTGTGAAAATGGAGTCATATCTACTGTTAAGGATTGCCTACAATTTGCTGCATTTGGGAAGAAAAATAATTTTTGTTGAAATGAAACAAACTTGCCTTGGAGCCCAGTGAAACACTGGAGACAAGTTCATAAGTAATAGGAGGGGTTGAGCCTCCTGCAGTTCAAGGTTTTATGATTCCTATGAACTGCCCTGGGGGGAATTGGAGAGTCTGTGAGCTTGGGCTGAATCTGTGAACCACGTCTTCCCACCTCTGAAACACGGGGGGCTGCAGAGGAGGAGCACCCGGCTGATTCCAGAAGAACCATCTGCACACAGGGCAGCGGGGCTCAGGCAGAGCTTAAAAGCAGCCTGTAGACAACTTTCATTTATGGCCATCTTCCAGCACCTTAGGGGCTTTCTGGCAGCAGATGACCAGTTGTTCCTCCTCAGCTGGGTAGAGGAGGGTTTGTCCTCTGGCAACGTGCCCCCGCTGGGGCACCAAAGAGCCCAGCGTGCTCCTGCACTGTGTGGGTGGCAAGGGTTCCACGGGGTGATGTCTACGCAGAATGAGGCTGCTCAGTTCTCTGCTCGGGCTCGAGCTGCCTTTGCCTGCCCCACAATACGGGGAGGCGAGGAGGTGCCACCCCGGTGCCCCACTGCTGCGGAGGCAGCGTCTGGGATTCAGGAGCTTTGGAGGACCTGGCCCGAAGATGCTCGTTACAGAGCACTTGTCTTCACAAGCTTGAAACCTTTTAGAAGTTTGATTTAATGCTCACTGTAACAATACTACTTAAAATGTTGCCTCCAAGGAGCTCTGGGTTCCTGCTACAGGCTTGAAGCCCCCTAGAAGTTATCTAGGTCTGACACAGGGCTGAGCGGAATAGCTGGAAAGAGTCATTTGCACTGGGAAATCCTTGTCTATTCTCATTGGAAACAATGCTGTATTTTATATATATACACACATATATATTTTAGCAAAAAGTGTTTTTAAAAGGGTCAATAACTCACAGATACAGAGAGAATAATTTACTGAAGTATGTGCAGCTTTGTTCATCTGGAGACCCTCTGGGCAAAAAACCATCAAGGATAACAAGCATGCTAAATACTAATAGTCACAATCATAAAAAATTACATGCATGATTAAAATATCCGTTTCAAGGCACTCTTACATTTGCTAATAAAAGTCTCCTTATGATTATCAAAATACAATTTTCCATATGAAAAGGACAAGCAAAACACAAATGACATCGTAGCCTTATTTGAAGTGACCGTGCAAGATTTCTAAAAATCTGACCTCCCTATCTTTTAAATGCATGGAATGTATGTAAATGATTTAGATAAGGATGTCAGATGCGAGATACCAACACTGGTTGATAGTGCCAAAACTGGAGAGAGAAAAAGTGAATAATGAACAACAGTGTAACCAGATTCAGGGTGAAGCTGATCTTCCAGGCAACTGGGCCCGTAAATAGAAAATGCAATTTAAATTAGACAAACGTTACATAATAAATCTAGAGGCAGTGAGCCAGGACAGCAAGAGTACATTTTAAGCAGAGAAGTAATTCAGAGTGAGCTGACCAGGAAAGTAATTTTCTCCAGGGGTTACTTTAGTGAAGCCCTCCAAGCCGTCCGGCCAGAGTTCCACCCAAGCACAAAAGGCAAGGGGAGACGGGATGAATCAGAGAAGAGCCTATAAATCAGGAGAAGGGATAACATTTCTGCACGAGGCGGCACGCTTTTTCATTTGAAGCACTGCGCTTGGTTAGTTTTTCACACAAGAAAGGGCATTACTGCCCTGGAGTGGGTACAGCCTCAGCCAGCCAAGTTGATGGCAGATTTTTGGAAGATGATTTACAGAGGGTGTCTGGAGTAGGGGATCTGCTCAAGAGAGAAAGAAGCCCTTTCCAGCAACCAGATGAAATCACCTGGATGATAAAAAAGCAGGGGTGTCCTATCTGCCCCATGGCAAGCGACCTGGAAGCAGAGCTGAGGACCTTCTCTAGGCACCATTCAGCCTGCTGCAAAGCAGCTCTCCAGGGTCGGGGGGGTGGGCGGATTTCCAGCCTCTGATTTCCAGACTCTTGTATCTCACCAGACCCTGGAAATCAGAGGCTGCAAATCCTCCAGAGAGCAGTTTGTGCTCCGCTGAAATCCACGACAAATTATGTCCTTTGAATCCCTTAGCTCAGTTTCACCAGCTGATCCTAGAAGCATATACCTGAGAGAAAGGGGAGACCAGACACTCAGACCACTCTCAGTCTCTGATTTTCTCTCAAGCCTCTGTCACAACAGCCTCAATTTGACAGTCAGACTGTAAATGGAGGCACCACCACCTTGCTCCAGATGCTCGATCAGACATTTTAACACGTGTATGACCATAGCACAGTCTGATGTTGGGACGTAAGGCGGGGGATACAAGCTCCAAGCTGCTACAAGCTAATTGCTCATTCCCTTTAGCCCAGAAAACAGAGGCCTCTGCTAGGCAGCCAGGGTGCAGCCAAGCATTATACTTTCAGCATATGGACCATTTAAATTCCTAGCAAAAAGAGCAGTTTAAACTGCTTGGTGCTTGGGTAGGATTTCTGCCATCTGGTACCCCGTATCTTCTGCTGGCGGAAGCCGACGTTGGATGCAGTTCTCGGATAGTAATTGTAGAGTAATTTCCATACAAATGGCTTGTAACTGGTGAGTTTGGGGCAGGCCCGTCATAAAGCATTTGCCTTGCAAACATTTTTCCTGCCTCTTGCTGTGTATCAGAAGTCCAAAGGAAATACAGGACCCTCTCAAGAATATTACTGGTGCATCCACAATGTGGATATGGAAGGGATGAGCCAAATATATTGATGCCTATTTTGTTCATTCTTGCTGAAGACTGAACTGGGGATGCTGAAAATATCCCTTCTTTCTGGCAGGAGGATCAGCCAGTGAGACTGGTTTAAGGCTCAGAAGTGGGCTTGGACTACAGCTCATTTTGTAATGACTGTCAAGAAACTCGTCTTTATGAAGAACATGAAATTACAAATAAAACATCATAGCTGACACACTTCTTTAACAAGGAGATGAAACCCCTGATTCATAATAGTAGATCCTGTCTTCTCTAGAGTAAAGCCACCAAATGTGGTCCAAAGCCACCCCCCCTCAGTCAGAGATCCCTGCTTGACGTGAACCTGAGCCCCATCACATGTGCTCAGCTGACACACATTCATGCTCTGGGGTCCTTTTTGAACGAGGGTGCTTTACTTCTTTGGAGCTATAGGATAAAGATAGTTTTGCCCTCCTGATGTTAGTGAGGATACCTGTGTAACCTGGTTCTCAAATAATTTTCACAGGTAAAATTGAGCTCATCATTTTTACTCTTTTTAATCTGAAAAGTACATACATCATTCTCTCTTCCCCACTCCAGAAAGGATCTCTGTATGAGACTGAAGTTACTAGCTGCGTAACAGCAGCATTTCCCAGGAATTATGCTGAGGATGCCAGGCGAGCATGATAGATGTCATCTCACACAGAATGAGGGCAGTGTTACACTCTGCTCTGCTTTACAGGGACCCTGTATCCTCCGTCAGACACATCTAATGTCTCAGTGAGACACGTTTTCAAGTGATGCCTGTCTACAGGCTGCTCTGTGGATGGCACATACACCTCTGAGGGTAATTCTAATGCTATATCCCTCCTCAGCTGAAGGTCTACTACCTCTTATGGGATATTAACACTTACGCCACACTTAAATGCATCCTGTTCAAAATGCAGATTGTTCCAATGTCTAACTTTAACTTAGTAAGGGCTGAACCCAATTATCAAGATTTTGCATTAACTTATTTTTTACTGATACCTCTTTCTGGAGGTCCAGCATTAACTGTGAAGTGATGTGATACACTATGTTTTTTTTGTTAGGGAGACTGAGGGAAGCTAATTGCTGGAGTCTGCTTTGACCACAGAGCTTGCTAGAAAGCCGGTGTGACAAAATCCTCATTATTTAACAAC